TTAGAGGAGTACTAGTTTTTTTGTGTCTTATGTAAAAAGCATGAAAGAAAATGTTGGAGAAATTGAAAAGAATCTTGAGGTAGAAAACTGCTAGTTTTAAATTCCATCACCAAAGTAATGAAATAAGTAATTATTGACAGTATTAATGAATAAATAAAAGTATTTTATAGGGATAGCCATTTTTTTTCCCAGAGGAAAAAGTTTAAATGACTATTTCAGACTCCATAATTTCGATTGAACAATCTAATGCAATAAATTTTTAAACAGCTTCAGAGATAGTTCAAATTTTTACATCTTTTCTTTTTTAAGTAATTACCACAGAGGCACTTTGAAGGTCAGAGTAGAATTGTTCAATATTACTTTAACCTCCAAAATGCTATAATACAGATGTTATCTCTAGTCTCAAACTTTGAAGATTGTATTATAGACCAAGAATAAGCAACTTTGTATGTACACTAAGTCACCAAAGTTATCTTCATCTGCAGGTTGGAGCAAATGTGAATTATCTGGGAACTGGAAATACTGGGGGAAAATTGTTTCTCTTGTTCATTTAGGTTTTGTACTATAGCTGTGTCTATTTGTTCTTGAAGGGAAATTATCTGCCTTAAAGAATTCTTCTCACTGAAAGAATCAGCCTTTCAGTTTCTAATCTAACAAATTGTTCACCTAGTAATTTAACATTAAGAAAACTAATTAATAGAATGGAAGTTCTTTGCACTTTAGTGGACTGAAAAGACTTGACTTTGGGAGTAAGTCTAAAAAATAAATAAATGAGGCTTTTCACTGGTAAGAGTAAAAAGTAATGAATTGTGGGAGTTCTTAAATAGTATACTACTTGAAAAGACTTTATATGTTTTAGTTAAAATTCCTTCTCTGTAGAAACAAAATTATGTTAATTCCAGTTTAAAATTTGAAATCTTATAATAGCTAAGTCCATGACTTGTGAAGTACTATGCATAATTTTTTCTAATCAGTGGATATAAGTGTAAAAGAAAAGGGTAAAATTAACTTTTTTTTTCTGAGTCTAACTCTGATGGTATAGCAAATTCATTATTAATCATTGATAAATTGGCATTAAATGTATTAAGTTTTGAACCTAAATTAAATCACTTGAGTGTGATAAGTGGTATCTGTATAACATACTATGTGGTTAATAATTTATAGTTTTTATGTTGCAATATGGTTTGAAACAATTAAGCACACTATTTCTGTTAGTGATATCTGTATGTATAGTCTTCAAACTAACAAGCCTGAGATCCTTGTTAGTGTAGTGACTGCCTCTTTAGGAGTATGGGACCAGAGGGTGCCTATATATTTTTACCTTATGGATCATTCTAGCATAGGGACTACTAGTACAACCCTCAGATATTAACTCCTGTCACAGGGGCTTGCTTAGAGGAAAATGATAGTGTAATAATATATTGAGGGAGTGTCCAGGGTTTTAATAGGTTTTAAAATGACCTTTTAACTTTGGTAACAATTTCCTTGGTATTGGTGTCCCTGATAGAGGGAATGTAACCTCTGGCAGTAATCTCATTGAGGTTATATAACCTGCCTAAATTTAATCTTTCTTATGTACTTCTGTATTTTTTTCTTATTTCTTATTATTGTACAGTTTCTTTACCTTTCAAATATAAATATGTATAAGCTGGGCGTGGTGGCTCACACCTGTAATCCCAGCACTTGGGAGGCTAAGGCAGGAGAATCGCTGTGAGTTCGAGACCAGCCTAGGCTACATGTGAGCTCAAGGCCAGTCTGAACTGCATAGCGAGACCCTGTCTCAAAAAGACCAAATATAAATGTGTATATAAAATGTAAATACAACAGATACACTAAAAACCACTAGTAACAATTACTGTGTAAATAAAACTCGAAAGCAGAGTAATTACTTGAAATGAGTCTTCATTACTGGGGGGGGTACCTGGTTTAATTAGCTACATCTAGAGATGTTGGCTGGGGGTAGGGAGAAAGCAGAGTTTTCTTCTAAAGGATGCTTCAGGCCTTTTGAGACTTTGAGTACTGGCAGCTAAAATATTGTACTGTCTTCTTCCCTTCAATCTTACATATAGGCAATAAGTGGTTACTTATGTGGTGGGTGTATAGCAGGTTTTCTGTTTTTTGGTGAAAGTATATTTTAAACTAAAAATAAGTTTTCCTAAAATACAGAATATAAAATTTAATGTTTCAATTGTGTGTATATTTTAATTTTTTTCATTTTTTTATGGTTGAATAGTTTTACATGGTTATACATATTTTCTTTATCCACGCATCACTTGATGGACACTTAGATTTTTTGCATTTCTTGGTTATTATGAATAGTGCTACATCAAACATGGGAGTACAAACGTAGCTTCAAAAGACTTCTTTCAATTCCTTTGGATATCTACCCAATAGTGGGACTGCTAATTCTGTTTTTATTATCTATTTTTGAGGTACTGGGGTTCGAACCCATGGCCTTAACACTGAGCTATATCTCCAGTCCATTTTTTATTTATTTTGAGACAAGATCTCCTTCCCTAAGTCATTAATTTATTTGCCCAGGCTAGGCAGGAACTTGTAGTCTGCCTGCTTAGCCTGCCTTAGTGGTGGGATCACAATGGTATGCTGTCACATCTAGCTATTTTTAATTTTTTGATTGTACTAATTTATACTCCTAGCAACATGTGCAAGGTTTCTTTTTTTCCACATCCTAGTCAGTGCTTAGTATCTTTTTTTTATAGTAGCCATACTAATTGGAATAAGATATTGCATTGTGGTTTTGATTAGCGTTTCCCAGATTAGTTTTATTGAACTTTTCTCGTATACATGTTGGCCATTAAGTGATTTATCTTCCTTTGAAAAGTGTCCCTAGTAACACTGTTAATCCTTTGTGGAAATACTCTTGTCCCTGTCCTTTCTTACTCCATACTCGTCCACTATTCCTTTTTGTTTTTTTGTATGCCAGGCAAGCACTCTACCAGTAACCTATACTCGCAACCAGATACCCTCTTTTCGGGGGACAGTACTGTGGATTGCAACTGACCTACATACCCAACTTTTTTTATTTTAAAAAGGGGGCCTTGTTAAATTGGCAGTTTCCAGAGTAGCTGTGATTACCAGCATGCATCACTGAGCCATGGCTCAATACTCTTATTATTTTTGACTTCTACTAGTTCATTCTCTTCTAACCAACCTTTAAATGAGTGAACTAGAAATAATTTGAGTTGAATGTCTGGTCAGCATAATCTTTCTAAAGAGACAGTACATGAAAGATAAATTCACTGAGAAATAGACCAAATCTACCATAGGCAGTACCAGGAACTACTTTGGGTACAAGCAACTCAATAGTAAATAAAATAGACAGTGTTTCTGATCTGAGTTTACACTGTAGTGCAGGCAACAAACAACTGTATAAAACAATGTCATATGGTGATAAATAATAGATGTTAGAACAAAATATGAAGAATAAAGTCATGAGAATACAGGATGTTTAGAGAAGAGTTCTTCTTTGAGGAGGTGTCATTACGTGTGGCTCTGAATCAAATGAAAATACAAGCCATACAAAAAGACCTAGACAAAGAATCTTTCAGATGGAAAGGCAAGAGTAAAAGACTGGATAGACTAGAGGTTAAGAGACTTAGAAATGGCAAGAAGTCCATTGTGTACAAAAAAGTTTGGGCTGACAATGTACCTCAGTAGTAGAGTGCTTTACCTAGTATGTTCTGGGCCCTGGATTCAATTCCCAGTATAAGGGGGGAAAAAGTGAGGTTAAGTGGTCCTTGAAACTTTACAGATGGGCAGACATCAGATCAATTAGGACTTCTTAGGTCCAGAGAATGAGTTTAGATTTTTATTATGAGGAATGCCAGTAGAGGAATTTGAGCAAGGAAATGATAGAATTTGATTTACACTTTTAAAACATTGTAAGATACGGGCTCAGAAAAGATTAGATATGTTTCTTTGTTTTTGTTTTAATATTTTGCAATGCTGGGGATTGAACCCAGGGTCTTGCACATGCTAAGCAAGTCCTCTACCACTGAGCTACGTCCTCAGCCTGTGTTTACTTTTCAAGGATTCATGTAGTTTTAAAAAATCAAATCAGAAGAAGTATGACAAAGTAATACGGCTTTACGTTATCGAGATACAAGTGGAGGTGAGTTTAACAGTAAATATTAATTGACGTTACACTTAAATCAGTTTTCTCACCTGTAATGTAGGAATATCTTTAATAGAAGGGTGCTGAAGATGATTATGTAGGACGTGCCTCGTAAACTCTTAAATTGTGTATAGATACAATCATTAAGTAGTTGGAGTCAGAAATGAAAACAGGCATATCATAAATTTTGAGAAAATGGGTGGGGGGTTCGGGCACTAAAAAAAATCGTTGTAAAGGATTATAGACAAAAAATGGGGATTTGAAGGCTTAGGCAAAAAATAAGAAGAAACATCCTGCTCCTGTAGCACCCACTCTATTTGCTGCTTGTTGGTTCCTGAATCTTCTACTGGCTATCACTGCATTCAGTTTTCCTTTGTCCAGAACAGCTTGAATCCTGCCGTAATCTTAATTTCCTATTTCCCCTCTCCCCTCCCGCAAGAGCCCTCTGGGCCATTTCCGGAGGGTTATTCATTCAAAGATGTGAACTACGCTGGCAAGTGGCTGGCAAGCTTGGCAGTATTCCCATCGGACAGCCTCGCCTGCACAGTAGTGCACGTTTCCTGAAGGATCATCGGTTGGGCGTGTTCGATCACATCCGCCAGTGTGTGAGATGCCAAGCACAGTCTTAAACCATCATCAAATACTGTACACGAGCAAATGGGCGTTCCCAGTCACTAGACGCCTTGCTATCAGAGCGCTAGTTAAAGGCATTCAGCAGCACCTGGTTTTGGGTAGAAAGAAGGCCGGTAATCACCCACCGCTCGCCTGCGGTGACTCCCGACAAAAGCACGGACCGCACCAAATCTCGCGTAGCTGCGGTAGGGGCGGGCGGGGAGTTCGAAATATCGCGAGACCACAGGGTTTTCCCGCGAAAGAGAAGCGCGCGTTTTTCTCTGGCACGGGGTTTGGTCAGAGTGCTGGGCTGCCGGTCCCTGTGTGGGTAATTATCGCGCGGCCTTGCAGGTGCCAAGAGGAGCCGACCCGGTTCCCGGTGAGCGCATAGCCATGCCGGCGGAGCGGCCCGCGAGCAGCGGCGGTGAGCGAGGACAGCCCTCCCTCGGGCGGGGGTGGGCAGCGTGGGGGCTGCGGCGGAGCTGGGGGAGGGAGCGACCCCGGGCCGGGACTGAGGCGGGTTGAGAAGCCGTGGGGAGCCGAGCGGGGGGGTCGCCTAGCAGTCGCACCTACTTGCCTGGCGTAGAGCGTTTTAGACGGGCAGCTGCGTTTTCCCGAGCATCCCGGTTTATGAACTGAGGCTCCGAAAAATTTGAGGCGGTGTAGGCGCTGGGAGTCTTCTGTGAGGTGGTGCTGGGGCCCTGGGGGCTTGGATTCTTGCTTTGAGTGCGTCGAAGTTGAGTAGTTGGTGACTTCTAGACCGACGGTTTAAAATTATTTCCTCCTCTTAGGGTCCCTAGCTGCAGAAATGGCTGAACCCCCGGAGACCGCCGTGATTACCCCAGCCATGCTAGAGGAGGAAGAACAGCTTGAGGCCGCAGGACTTGAAAGAGAGCGGAAGATGCTAGAAAAGGTAATTTAGGAATCGGATTAAACATTGTTAATTTCTGATCTTACCTGAGGCTTCCCTGGAGAGGTGGTTTGTGTTCTTTCCTTTTTTTTTTTTTTTTTTTTTTTTTTTTTTTTT